TCAGGCAATCCACTCACCTCAACCTCCCAAAGGCGCGGGATTACAGGCTGAGCCACTGAGCCCAGCTGCTTCAGCCTTTTCAATCTGCTTTACGTGAAGAGAGGTTCTTTTTTTTCTTTTTTTCTTTTTCTTTTTTGAGTCGAAGTCTCACTCTTTCACCCAGGCTGGAGTGCAGTGGCATGTTCACGGCCACCGTAGCCTCGACCTTCAGGACTCAGGTGATTCTGGCCACCATGCCTGACGAGGTCTCTTCAAGTTGCCCAGGCTAGTTTTGAACCCTTGAACTCTGGTGATCCTCTCGCCTTCACCTCCCAAAGTGCTGGGATGACAGGCATGAGCCACCGCACCCGGCTTTATTTTCTTTTAATCCTAGGAGCAGAGTGTAGGAAGAAATTTCCTTCAGAACAGTCCCGCTCTGTCAATGCTTTGCATTTTATTTTTATTTTATTTTGAGCTGGGGTTTCATTCTGTCACCCAGACTGGAGTACAGTGATATGATCACAGTGGTCACGGCTCATGGCAGTCTTGACCTCCTGGACTCAGGCGACCCTTCCACATCAGCATCCCAAGTAGCTGGGACTACAGGCGTGATGGCTATCATCCCAGCACTTTGGGATGTGGAGGTGAGAAGATTGCCTGAACTCAGGAGTTTGAGACCAGCCTGAACAACATGGTGAGACCTTGTCTCTACAAAAAATTTTTAAAAAATTAACCAGTCAGGTGTGGTGGCTCATGCCTATAATCCCAGCATTTTGGGAGGCCGAGGTGAGATGATTGCCTGAGCCCACGGGTTCAAGACCAGCCTGGGCAATTTAGTGAGGCCTCATCTCTACGATAAATTTAAAAATTAGTTAGATGTGGTGGTGTGTGCCTGTAGTTCCAGCTACTTGGAAGGCTGATGCAGAAAGATCACCTGAGCCCAGCAGGTTGAGACGGCAGTGGCCATGAGCGTGTAACTGCATTCCAGCCTGGACAACAGAGTGAGAGACTTCAATTCAAAAGAAAAAAAAATTAGCCAAGCATGGTGGCACATGCCTGTGGTTCCAACCACTTGGAAGGCTGAGGTGGAAGGATCGCCTGAACCAAGTAGGTTGAGGCTGCAGTGGCCATGAGTAAGCCACTGTACTCCAGCTTGGGCAACAGAGAGCTACTCTGACTCAAAAATTTAAAAAATAGTAATAATTCTTTCATGCATAATAATTTGAAAGTGATAGAATCTTAACAGACAAAAGAGGGAAAGATTTTTGAAGCACAGAAAACAACTTAGACTAAGACACTGGGTTATGACATAGAGTGTTTAAGGAACCACAAGCAACACAATATTGCCAGAGCCTCATGTTGGGGAGATAAGGAGAACCATTATAGCTGGGCACAGTGGCTCGCCTATAATCCCAGCACTGTTAAAGGTGGAGGCGAGAGGATTGCCTGTGCTCAGGGGTGCAAGACCAGTCTGGGCAATTTGGCGAGACCTCGTCTCTATGATAAATCAAAACATTAGCTGAGCGTGGTGGTGCACACCTGTAGTTCCAGCTACTTGGAAGGCTAAGGCAAAAAGATTGCATGAGCTCAGCAGGTTGAGGCTGCAGTGACTGAGCACGCCACTGCACTCCAGCCTGGGTAACAGAGTGATATTCCAACTCAAAAAAATAAATAAGAAGAACCATTGGAAAAGTTGAGGCCACACATTAGGATTAGGAAGGGCCACACATGCCACAATAAGGAATTCAGTGTTCTAGACGTTCAGGAGCTATTAAATAAAGGAAACAGGGAAATGACAACATATATTCACATAAAGATGGCAGCAGGCTGGGCTTGATGGCTTAGCTTGTAATCCCGCGCTTTGGGAAGTCAAGGTGAGTGGATTGCCTGAGCCTGCGGGTTCGAGACCCACCTGGGCAACTTGGTGAGACCTCATCTCTACAATAAATCAAAAATTAGCCGGACGTGGTAGCACATGCCTGTAGTTCCAGCTACTTGGAAGGCTGAGGCAGAAGGACCACCAGAGCCCAGAAGCATGCCACTGGACTCCAGTCTGGGTGACAGAGTGAGACTCCAACTCAAAAAAATAAATAAAAAATAAAGCTGGCAGCAACATGGAGAATGAATTGGAGAGGATGAGACAAGGAACAGGTACAAATTGAGGCCACTAGTCTTCTCAGGTGATATACGGTGCGGTCTTGGCTACCTAAGAGGTAGAATTAGTAGAGCTCTAGTGACTGACTAGATGGGATAGAGAGGATGAAGAAAGAAGTCAAAGCTGGCTCATGGTTTCTTTTTTGAGTTGGAGTCTCACTCTGTCGCCCAGACTGGAGTGCAGTGGCATGCTCCCGGCTACTGCAGCCTCAACCTGCTGGGCTCCAGTGATCCTTCTGCCTCAGCCTTCGGAGTAACCAGAATTACAGGTGTGCGCTACCACACCGGCTAATTTATTTATTTATTTATTGTAGAGATGAGGTCTCACCAAGTTGC